TACAATGTCAGCAAGACAACTGAGCATTTGGAGACTCTCCCCTCCCCACACACACACACTTTTTTTTTGTGCTAACAAGAAAACACTGTGTGTGTGTTCGTGTTCGTGTTCTGTGCTAAGGGAGGACTAAAACTGATTTGATAAATATGAAGAGTAAAGGTCCGAACAGCTCAGATGGTTGGGAAGTGCAAACTTCCTCATCTGACCTAGCTGTGAACTAGATGACCCATCTCCAGGCATGAAAGGATATGGAGATGAAGCGGTAGACCTCACTTTTCCCTTTTATATGCCCCAGAGGGTGTGAAGGGGCATTGTGATGCAGAAGGTGTCATTTTTATGAAGAGATACAAAATTAATGTTTGGGCTCTACAGTTTGGTCATGAAAACTTGATGTAATCAAGAGCCCACAGACAGTCAGATATTTTGACAACAGGGGTCACACAAATACCTAGACAGTGAGTTGCTTCCTTTAGTTCATTCTGCCTGCTATACTCTGGCATGTCCTGGGCTTTTAACTACATTCTGTAGAGCGGTTTGGAGTTCCATCCACTGCAGTCAAGTTATGACTTTACTTGCTTCTGTGCATAAAACATTTTTTATGAAGTAACAGATGCTCACATAACAGCTCGAGTGGTTATGTATGCTCACACAAAATAAGGATCTCTTTTATTTGGATAAGCAGCTGATATTATACAGAGACCCAAAACAGATTAGAACTGAAAAAGGAAAACTCTTGTTCCAATACTCTGTGTTTCACACAGAAAACTAATCAGACTTGATCTTGGGAAAACTTCCTCATATCCATCCAATACCCTGGAACCTTAACCCCAGATTGGATGCCTTAAAATTATTTCATTAAAAGTCATGAATTATTCAGGCTTTCATTAAAATTCATGAATTATTCAGGCTAAGCAGAGACGATAAATCGATCCCCAGTGGGTCGATGGCTACAGCGTTGATCCACTGTGGAATGAAGACAAGCTCTTTGTGATGAACCTGTTAAAAGAATTCTTGGTGCATTGTAGCTTAGATGTTTGTTTGGAACTCATCAGGTTATCTTTTTCTAACACTGCTGGATAAAGCCCATGTTTCTAAGCCGTGTGGCTGACAAATTTGGGAAATGCTAGGGACAGTGTTGAAAACAGTAGAGTGGTGAGGTGGGGAAAGATTAGTGTATAAATGGAATGGTTTTAAATGAGATTAGCAAGGTTAAAAACCAAACTTGTGTATTTCCTCAGAAGTCTTATGACTGCATCCAGAACACCGTTTGTTATTGTAAAGTTGTAGGTATTTTTGTTATGCTTATTGTCACTTGGGCTGTGTCTAGACTGCATCCCTTTTTCGTAAAAGGGATGCAAATTAGACACATCGCAATTGCAAATGAAGCGGGGATTTAAATCCTCCTCCCCCGCTTCATTAGCATAAAAATGGCTGCCACTTTTTTCTGACTCGGAGCTTTGCCGGAAAAAAGCGCCAGTCTAGACGCGGATCTTTCCAAAAATAAAGCATTTTCCGAAAGATCCTTTATCCCTTATTTTAAGAGGGATAAGGGATCTTTCGGAAAAGGCTTTATTTTCGGAAAGATCCGCGTCTAGACTGGCACTTTTTTCCGGCAAAGCTCCGAGCCGGAAAAAAGCAGCAGAGCAGCCATTTTTATGCTAATGAAGCGGGGGGCGGTTAAATCCCCACTTCATTTGCAATTGCGATGTGTCTAATTTGCATCCCTTTTACGAAAAAGGGATGCAGTCTAGACACAGCCCAAGTGACAATAAGCATAACAAAAATACCTACAACTTTACAATAACAAACGGTGTTCTGGATGCAGTCATAAGACTTCTGAGGAAATACACAAGTTTGGTTTTTAACCTTGCTAATCTCATTTAAAACCATTCCATTTATACACTAATCTTTCCCCACCTCACCACTCTACTGTTTTCAACACTGTCCCTAGCATTTCCCAAATTTGTCAGCCACACGGCTTAGAAACATGGGCTTTATCCAGCAGTGTTAGAAAAAGATAACCTGATGAGTTCCAAACAAACATCTAAGCTACAATGCACCAAGAATTCTTTTAACAGGTTCATCACAAAGAGCTTGTCTTCATTCCACAGTGGATCAACGCTGTAGCCATCGACCCACTGGGGATCGATTTATCGTCTCTGCTTAGCCTGAATAATTCATGAATTTTAATGAAAGCCTGAATAATTCATGACTTTTAATGAAATAATTTTAAGGCATCCAATCTGGGGTTAAGGTCCCTTAAGTACCTTGTAAATCCCTCCTTGTATAAAAATAGGCTCTGAATAGGCTCTGAAATCCACATTTAGGCACTTAAATACAAGGGATATCAATGAATTTTGCTGCCAGCATCCCTGAAAAGAGGGGCAATTTTATTTTGGTGCTTCAGTGTGGATTTAGAAGCCTGATTTTAAGACTAAGGAAATAATTTCCATTGTTTCATGATAGCATGCCAGGGTAACCTCAGTCTTTTGAAAGCAGATTCCTGGGGTTACAGATTAGAGGTAGCTTTGAAAGGACATAAAGACTGTTTCCAAGTTCCCTGAAATAAATGGGCTCTAAGTGAAGTGCTGGGCACTCTCACTGGGCCAAATCTTGAACTTCTTAGATTCTATCCATTCTTTATCCAGGCAAAACCCTGAATGTCAAGAGTTTAGCCTAAGGAAGGACTGAAATGAGATTACTTCAGTGGCAGTTTTAAGCACTTTTCAAGTATTGGCAAATACTGCAAAACCCTTCTGTGTCTGTGCTGGTTACAAAAAGTTGGGCAGTTATGGCAGGTTTCTCTGTTCACATCAGTTTTGCCGTGCTATGATTTTGCAGATACGCTGGAGAATGAGGTCCTTAAGTTAGAGATGGACCCAAACCAAAGCCTCAGATCCAAACATCCCAGAACTTTGAATGCTGATCTGGATCTAAACTTCAAGACGAGGTTTACTTTAGATGGGCCAGCCCTTGATGTCGATGTGTATGACAATGGAGATTGTTGCAGGTGACTGGGACATTTGTCCTAGACAATGTACAAGTGATAAGCCACAGAAACATTCCGAATGGCCTTTAAACTTTCCTCATCAAAATATTACACACGTCAGATATTGCTGCCTTGAACACTATCTTTTTTATCAGTGAATAGTCCCAAAGTCCATAGAATCCGTTTGCTTCTACTTTAATTTTCAGTTGAGTGGTCAATAACCAAAGTCCCTTTCAAAAATAGTTATACCTGCCCATACGGGCATGTC